GGATAAACGAAAGGGTAAGCATTCACATCGTCAAATTTATATTCTGACTGTTCCATTTGGATAAACGAAAGGGTAAGCATTCACATCGTCAAATTTATATTCTGATTATTCCATTTGGATAAACAAAAGGGTAAGTATTCACATCGTCAAATTTATATTATTCTGACTGTTCCATTTGGATAAACGAAAGGGTAAGTATTCACATCGTCAAATTTATATTATTCTGACTGTTCCATTTGGATAAACGAAAGAGTAAGCATTCACATCGTCAAATTTATATTCTGACTGTTCCATTTGGATAAACGAAAGGGTAAGCATTCACATCGTCAAATTTATATTCTGATTATTCCATTTGGATAAACAAAAGGGTAAGTATTCACATCGTCAAATTTATATTATTCTGACTGTTCCATTTGGATAAACGAAAGGGTAAGTATTCACATCGTCAAATTTATATTATTCTGACTGTTCCATTTGGATAAACGAAAGAGTAAGCATTCACATCGTCAAATTTATATTCTGACTGTTCCATTTGGATAAACGAAAGGGTAAGTATTCACATCGTCAAATTTATATTCTGACTGTTCCATTTGGATAAACGAAAGGGTAAGCATTCACATCGTCAAATTTATATTCTGACTGTTCCATTTGGATAAACAAAAGGGTAAGTATTCACATCGTCAAATTTATATTATTCTGACTGTTCCATTTGGATAAACGAAAGGGTAAGTATTCACATCGTCAAATTTATATTCTGACTGTTCCATTTGGATAAACGAAAGGGTAAGTATTCACATCGTCAAATTTATATTCTGACTGTTCCATTTGGATAAACGAAAGGGTAAGCATTCACACCGTCAAATTTATATTCTGACTGTTCCATTTGGATAAACGAAAGGGTAAGCATTCACATCGTCAAATTTATATTCTGACTATTCCATTTGGATAAACGAAAGGGTAAGTATTCACATCGTCAAATTTGTATTATTCTGACTGTTCCATTTGGATAAACGAAAGGGTAAGTATTCACATCGTCAAATTTATATTATTCTGACTGTTCCATTTGGATAAACGAAAGGGTAAGTATTCACATCGTCAAATTTATATTATTCTGACTGTTCCATTTGGATAAACGAAAGAGTAAGCATTCACATCGTCAAATTTATATTCTGACTGTTCCATTTGAATAAACGAAAGGGTAAGTATTCACATCGTCAAATTTATATTCTGACTGTTCCATTTGGATAAACGAAAGGGTAAGCATTCACATCGTCAAATTTATATTCTGACTGTTCCATTTGGATAAACGAAAGGGTAAGTATTCACATCGTCAAATTTATATTATTCTGACTGCTCCATTTGGATAAACGAAAGAGTAAGCATTCACATCGTCAAATTTATATTCTGACTGTTCCATTTGGATAAACGAAAGGGTAAGTATTCACATCGTCAAATTTATATTCTTACTGTTCCATTTGGATAAACGAAAGGGTAAGTATTCATATCGTAAAATTTATATTCTGATTGTTCCATTTGGATAAACGAAAGGGTAAGCATTCACATCGTCAAATTTATATTCTGACTGTTCCATTTGGATAAACGAAAGGGTAAGTATTCACATCGTCAAATTTATATTCTGACTGTTCCATTTGGATAAACGAAAGGGTAAGCATTCACATCGTCAAATTTATATTCTGACTGTTCCATTTGGATAAACGAAAGGGTAAGTATTCACATCGTAAAATTTATATTCTGACTGTTCCATTTGGATAAACGAAAGGGTAAGCATTCACATCGTCAAATTTATATTCTGACTGTTCCATTTGGATAAACGAAAGGATAAGCATTCACATCGTCAAATTTATATTCTGACTGTTCCATTTGGATAAACGAAAGGGTAAGCATTCACATCGTCAAATTTATATTCTGACTGTTCCATTTGGACAAACGAAAGGGTAAGCATTCACATCGTCAAATTTATATTCTGACTGTTCCATTTGGATAAACGAAAGGGTAAGCATTCACATCGTCAAATTTATATTCTGACTGTTCCATTTGGATAAACGAAAGGGTAAGCATTCACATCGTCAAAATTATATTTATATTCTGACTGTTCCATTTGGATAAACGAAAGGGTAAGCATTCACATCGTCAAAATTTTATTTATATTCTGACTGTTCCATTTGGACAAACGAAAGGGTAAGCATTCACATCGTCAAATTTATATTCTGACGGTTCCATTTGGATAAACGAAAGGGTAAGCATTCACATCGTCAAATGAACATTAAAGGGGAAAGGCAGTGGCCACAAGATTCATTTTCTACGTTGTCTGTCTTCATCTGTTCTTTGACTTTTTTCATATTGTTAATTAATAACATTTAAAAAACATAGAAACAGGTTGGTGACTTATTTCAAATAGCCAGGGAAAGAAAGGAAAAGTAGTCGAAAATATTTGTTTTCTGTGATGAATGTTGCCATACCCACCTTCCTTCCAGCCTATTGTCCTCAAATAATAATTCCCACTTTAAACGCTAAGCATTATAATAAATGAGCCGTTATAACAATAGTATTTTGCAAATGTTGTTATACTTAAATAATAGAAATCATGTGTCTTCGTAGGGGAAAATTGTTGAGCGATCATCTTGTTTGTTCATTGTTGGACTGGTGTGTTTGTCTTCTTCTTGATTCTTTGGAGTGTATGATATCCGCAGGGGAAAGAGGTGATGGATGAGAGGAGGGAGAGGGAAGGAAGATGAGGAGGAGGGGCAACAGTAGCAGCAGCAGCAGCAGAAAGAGGACAGGCTGAAACAAAATAGTTTAAACAGGGTGAAAAAGAGAAGAGAGAGAGAGAGAGAGAGAGAGAGAGAGAGAGAGAGAGAGAGAGAGAGA